CGTTCTTCCACTCCCTCCTTCCCTTGTTCTATTGCCAGAAGAAATACAGACTAATGGGAGCTCTGGTGTACAGAGCAATGGTGAATAAATTGGTTGCAGCGTGGAGGTACTTTCATAACACGAACACTGACTGTAGTCTCCCAGAATTGGCTCCGTAAGTATGAGCAGATACACTGCAAGCTGCAATACCCTTACACCACAAGTGGGGAGAAATGAATTCAGCCTCTGATCCTTGCTTGGCTCAGCAATGAGTGTGGTGGAACAGGAGGAACTAGTCCTCTGAAGCGCATACCTGATCACCACAAGAGGGGTGGAAGTCCATTGCACAGGCTCACTGGAAAAGCTGAGGATGACTTTGACTTAAGGTCACTAATGACCCACAAAGTGCACATTACCAGCCTCTGTTTTTAGCAATGAAGTAGGAGAAAGAGGAGAATGAACAGTACCAAACAAAGAGCAATGGACAAAAGAATTCGGGATGCCAACAGAGACTGAACCTCAAGTGACACAGCTGTTCCTCTATTGATAATGACATCAAACCAGTCAGTGCATTCAGCTGAAGCCCTAGCAATTCAAAACGGAAACCTCAAACCTCGCATATAAAACCCACTCCTTCCCTTTCTCGTCCTGCCTAATCCAGATATGTCCCCTAGCCTCCACTACCTTTTATTCGCTTTTTGTCATCACATCTTAGACTCCTCTTTTTACCTCAGAATCAGGTTCCTTCCCTGAAGCTGCAGATCCCAGAGGAACATGACACAAGGCCTCTAAAACACTGTTAAGCGGGAAGTCCACCTTTATAGTGCTATCTGCCTCTACACATTAGGAAGGGAGCACAAAATGAATCTCCTTTATTGGGTTCCCAATATTGCTTCTTGATAAAGCAGCTTTTAGCACAGGCAAATGCATGAGGTATTGCAACAGCAAGGTGGGCAGTGTTAATTTTAAGTTGCTTAGAAATGGATCAAATCTTTAATACATGTCTGGCTTTACCTCTTTCTCCTCCAGATGCAGACGGACAGTGTGCATGGAAACTGGCTGCCAGAATGTACAACTTTGCTCTACTATACTTAAGGTCACCTTTGCCCCAGAAATCATTGGTCCCCTATACTTTTTCCCACTTCTCTACTTGATATTCCAGCTTGGAGAGGGCCTTCTGCTCATCCTGCTCTTCAGGATCCATGATAGAATAACAAAACCAAACGGCAAGTGCACTCTTGTTCTTGTATTTCCAAAGTTTTCCATTCCCAACCATACATGCTTATAAACAATTAGTGATGAACCATGGCTTTCTAGGGGCAGAATGCAGTTGCCCTTTAACTCAAAGGTATCATACACAATATACAGAGGCTAAACAAGTCACAAGCAAAAATCAGAGGTAACTGAAGACATTAGAAATTGACTTCTTACATCAGCAGTGTTTCGTAATGCAATACATTATCTATGCTATCAGTGCTCACAAGTTTTCAGACTCCTGTGCTTGAACCACAGCAAGCATCCCTGAAAAGCTGTAATTTGCACTGAACGTATGCAGAGCATAGTCATATACCTGTCTAAAACTACAGGAGAACATTAGATACTTCGATGCAACAAATTCTGGCTTCAGTGCTAGCTGAAAAGGATTCACTGAGGGTGTCACTTTTGAGGGTGGAAGGAGGAAGAAACAAACAGAACTTCCGCAAAGTACTACAGCTAGAAGGAAGTGTTTAGCTCTTCTGCTAGAAAGTATGTAAACAAATTCAACTTAATTAAAAATACATTTTATTTAAATACATACATTATATATATATATTTTTATATATATATGAAGTATCACTACAGACATTAGGTAAACTCTTCTCCAGCTTCAACAGGTTCATAACATCAAAGTACAGCTGAGTCTCTGAAGATGGTTGGAGAATGAACTGCTGAATCAGATCCTCGGCCAGCTGCCTTAGCCCTGCCTCTAGCTGCCATCTCCAGTCACTCAGGATACAGAGAAGCAGCTGAGCAGCACCGTGGGCTGCTATAACAGCATTTTGTCATATTTTACAACTATAGATGAATGATCACAGGCACTTGCTACTACATATAAAAAACACACTCAGTTTTGATCCTTAGGCATATCTTCAGTGCAAAGCAGATGATGTTGGGAACAGTCACAGAGGAGGCTCATCAGCCTGCTGCAAAAGGGCAGCTTTCCAGGCAGATTCATGAAATGACAGGAAACGAAATGGCTGAAGTATTTGCATAAGACTTCAAGTTCTTTTTACAAGCTTTCCATAACCTAGGTTCAGAATTGTGCACTCTCATCATGTTTTTTTTCCTTCTGTAGATGCAGCAAAAGTGACCTGCACAGCTATCACCCAAGACACAGATATCGCCCAAGAGATAAAACCAGTATCAAGACCCTGCAGAAATAGCAGGAAACCAGGAAAACAGTATAGAAAGATTGTGCAACAAACCCCTCAAGCTCTACCTTCTGCAGAAGGTTTACAGGTCTCTCAGAGTTTTGTGTAAAACTTGTACTATATGCTCATTTTTAAACTAGAGGAAGGGAACTCCCATAGAACTATCCCCATCCTCACTACGTTATTTCCCCAAAGACCTTGTTTCACAGATTAAGCCTCTTCCCACCATCCCCATGAGGGAGACTTCCAGGCTCACCTGTGGAAAGGAAAGTCATCCATGACAACCTACAGGTACTCCTTTTCTTTTGGGATAGTTTAGTGACTACCCTCTCTGACACGTTCCCAAATGACTGCCCCCACCTTTGCCCACAGGAAAAATCATTTCCATCATCAATTCCTTTTCTGAAGTTCACTTCCTTATAATTGTCTTACTGGCAAACGTTGGAGACCATTCCCAAAGACATCCCTGTAGAGATCAAAAATGAGGTGTGAAACTTTCTCAATGTAGAATCCACAAACTGAGACCAATATCCCATGGACTGCTGGCCATCCCCCTTTTCCAAGAACCCAAGTAGCATCCGGTATACCATTTGTGTCTACGCAGCAGACACCACAAAAACTCACAACATAGCCATGTAATGTGCAGAGCGTGCAGAATTTGGGCCCAGCAAGCTGCATGTGAGCCCTGAACATGCCTTGCTTTATAGGAGCCAGTCAACTAACTACAGTCTATTTTCAGGACATCATCTTGCTGTTCACATCACAGCACAGAGATGACTGTAGTGGAGGATGTTGGAGGATTGGCATTAGAACTGTAAATGTGCTAAGTATGCATTGTAACCTAAAGTAATACAGCTTAAAGAATAAACAGGACTGTACTGAGAACCCACACTTTAATAAAGCTGCTGTCGTTAACTGCTGTAACCTGAGGCACAAATATAGGTATCACAGTATCGTCCAGAAAAATCATTTTTGACAAGGCAATGCAAACAACCCTCAGCAATGCAAAGCCTAGCAATGTGTTTTAGGATTACAGCCCACTCGGACCTTAAGCAGACCTTAAGCAGCTGGCTCATCAATGCAGCTAGCTCATCCATGCAAAAATCTATTCAGGCTGCCAGTGAGAAGTTGTTTTAAAAACAGGATTCAGAACAGTCATTGCTGGAACAGAAAACATTCCCATGATAACACAATAGAAGCAGTGAACACTTGGAGGAAAGTCTTCCATGATGCTCACTTTTCAGATTTGCTACACTTGGAAAGGGTGTTCATACTTGCCCTGTTAAGCCTGGGAACAGAACAAAGATAACTTTATTCCTTGGAATTCACATACTACCTGGACTGTCTGGACACAGCTCTAAATGCTTACCACCTGTGTTCTGGGTTTAAATATCTGGAAAACAGTAGAGAACAGCAACTGATGCTCAGGAAATGCTAGTACCATTACAAGCAGCGACTCCACGTTGAAGTTGGAGGGAAGAATAAAGGTGAGCACAGAACTCAAGAAGGAACAGTCATCAGAAAGCACAATGCTGGTTTGTAAGCACAGGCACACTAGTAGAACATGACAACTACATTAATCTTTAGTTACTGCTTAGAGAACAAGCCTGTAAGATTAAAGCATAAATGATTCAGCCTTTCCCCTTTCTACTATGAACGTTGTTCATAGGAACGTTCCCCTTATTATCACATTCCTTTTTTCAGAATATAGATGCCCATTAAGATAGACATTTAAGGACAGCTATACTTTGACTATGTTGAAATAGTCTAACCAAGGCAGCTTTAGCAAAGAGCCAACTTTAAGACAGCTTGGTTTTCTACAGACAATAAAATTTAATTTTTTGTAAAATGCATTTACAGCAAAGAAAGTCTTTCCCCTCCACCCCACGACCAGAATACTCAACAGCTTTACCACAACTCTATCTTTAAGAAATGTTTTACCACTGCCTAACTACATGAGGCACAGCCACAAATGCCTTATTAACAGAAAGAATACACCAGACTCAGAGACAGGTTTCTTTGTATTTTATTTGAGATATTTAATTCTAAAGTATCGAGAAGTAGGGTGCTTTATAGAATACTATTACCACAGGGCAGTGAAATGGGCGTTTTCTTAGTGTAGTGCAAGTCGTTAAATGAAAAGCTTTCAAAATAAAGTTTTATTACCAATATTGACCAGCACTTAATCTGCTGACCTATAACTGAAACAATGGTTCAAAAGCACAAAAAAAATACCCTCTGAAATAAAGCTTTATGTACAGCACATGTAGAGCTCTTAGATGCCTAAAGCTATTAGTTTAATTTGAGATATTAAACTAATATTCTGAATTGCTATTCACAGTTGAATATACCGGGAACTAAGTGTTCAGGTAACTTTTTTTTGAGTACAAAAAAAAAAAATTTGTCTGCTTTAGTTATAAAGAGCTCTGCCAATATACACAAACTATACACTTCAGACATTCACAAAAATGTGAGCAAGAAAAGGGTTATCAAAAAACATTTAATACAATTAGTCAATAACCCTCCCTCCCCATGGTCCACATCTACAAATTCCCCCCTCCCCCCTCCCTGTCCAAACCCTTCCCCACAGAAAGTCACATACTTACCACAAGTTTTAGCAAGTATGGTTTAAAAAAGGGCCCCCAGGGCAAGTTACTTATAGTTCAGTTGCCACTATCAACAGATCTGGACCTCGATCTAGACCTCTGCCGATCCACAGATGCTGGGGATTTAGACCTACTGGAAGAGCCACGTTTCTGGCTCTTCTCTGGCATTGGAGATCTACTAACTGATCGAGACTTGCTACGGCTCCTACTCCTTGACCTGCTGTAAGACTTGCGGCTTCGGGAACGGGAACGGCTACGAGACCTGGATGAACTTCTGCTACGTGATCGTGACCTGCTTCTGGACCTACTGAGAAAACAAGGAGCATCGCTGTTAGCAATGAAACATCATAGGCCACTACAATAACCAGACAATTCACTGGTCTCCAGGTTGCTCTGTCTGGTCACCGACTTCAAAGCTTTCTTTTGTGAAGATTTTAGTATTTTTTCCACAGATAAGAAATACATACCTGTGTCTTTTGCTGCCTTCAATTAGTTTGATTTTCCTTCCATTAATTTCTTTACCAGAAAGCTTTTCAATAGCATTCTTTAAATCACTGTAAGAGGCGAACTCAACCACCCTAGAGAAATTAAAGAAAGAAGTAGCTTACTGTTACAAATAACATTTTTGACGACAGGCGAAACAGACCCAGAGAAAGAAAAACAAAAAGATCACCACCACCCACACCACACCGCTTGGTACAGTCATCCCACGTCATGAACTCAACCATGAATTCCAGCATTTCTTTCCACAACAGTCAGAGAATGCACTTTCAGAAGGTAGCTAAATTAAGCCAACAGTACCTGCTCAGAACTTAAAAAAAAAAGACAGATTCTTAAAATATTTATGTAATATATAAAAATATTACTCTACAGCTTTTGAGACACGATTTTAGATGCTTACCCTTCATTTAGCTTAGGTCTGTGTGCATCTGCAAAGGTTACTTCCCCAGCTTGCCTCATGAAGTCTTTGAGATCCTAACACAAGACCAGTTACGTTATGCAAAGAAGTGAAATTAATATTTAAGTATATAAAAATTTTAAAAAGCTAAATAAAATTATGACTACTGAAAGGGAAGATGTTAGATAAATTACAAACATGGCAATTGCCATACTTGTATTCTATCAAAATTGAATTAACTCTATCAGGGCACGAAATAAATGAAAAAAAGCATAATGCTTTAAGCAAAATGCTAATAAAGTCTCATTTAACATTAAGGAAAAATATTAGTCTACAAAGATTATAACTAATATATAAAAAATACATTTGTATGTGTATATAGATATATATACTGGACTGAGTGCAAAATACTACCCATACATTTTTGTACTATGTCAGTCTTCATTTACATTACAAGGTTTATATGCATACAGAATTACATTTACATAACACCAATTATTTTGTGCCCCATATGTCATTAAAAATATAGTTTACTTTACCTTTATTAACATTTCCCTAGGCTAGCCAAGCAGCAAACTGCATTAAGCGATCGGAGATACCGTCATGATATATGCCCGACTGGCTCTTCGCCACCCACTTGACGAACACTACCCAGTCGATGGAAGCCATTAATCGCACTGCCCTCCCTATTAGGAGACTATTGACGGATCCAGACATTTTCTATGCTTGAAGTTACCAAGGACCACTTTACTGCGATCAGGATTCCAACGACCACCTAATTTCGTATCTTTCAATTCTTTTCGACCAGGATCTCTTATTCGGAAGCGTTACAGGAGGAACAGCTCTCAACTTAGGAATCAGATCTCGTTAACGCTCTGGGATCGCTGCAATGTGGCACTTTAAGGAGTGCATCGATTACGTCTAGACCGGCAAACACAGATCTAGAGGTGGCCAACTGACATTGTAGGAGCTGACTGGAAAGTCAACCAGGCCCAACCAAGAGTGACCAAGACAGAACGATTAGGATAACCCACAGGCACTCCTCGTCATAAGGCCAACGACACAGATAGGCTGGCAAATAAAGGGTTTAATATGTGGTTAAAATTGATTTTAAAAAAACAAGAAATAAATAAATATATTTCTGCAAATATATACATTTATTATTATAAATTAATTTTAACTAGTTTTCATTTAAAATATTTAAATTACATTATTTAAAATTACATTACATAAACATTTTAATAAATTAAATTTTAATTTTAATTAATAATTTACAAAATTATTACATTACATACCCATTAAATGAAGTCAAAATAGTTAATCGTGTGTTAACAAACCTGCCAGCTGACTCGGGAAGATAAATTTTCTACTATGAGGCGATTTTCTGTTCTTACAGGTGGGGCATTTCTGTTCAGAAATAAACAATTGCGACTTTCATTAGTAAGTAAAGCTAACTACATTTCAGTGTCAACGGAAATTGTACCAATAACTGATATTAACATTACAGATCAACTATGTAATACCGTCAGTAATGTTGGACAGGCATTAAGTAATTTGGGGGATTGAAAAAAAAAAAAAATACACTGCAGTAAAGATAGTTTCCTTTACACTGGTTTAGCTAGGGGAAGAACTCCAAAAGGATAAAAGAGGCTAGCATATCTAAGAAGCTTTGTAATTCTCACTATCCTATTTTACTGTCACATCACATGACTGGATAAAAAAAGGAAAATAACGCCTTTTAGCATCTCATTCAAGTTCCTGAATCAGATGAAAGCATTTTTTTCCCTGCATCAGTTCTGTTATACATACCTCCTGTCACTACGTGGACGTCGGCTACTAAAACGGTCAGAGTACCTCCCTCTGCCTCTACCACCCCTAGAGCGTGCCCTTGCATGCTCAATTGTAACCCTGGGGAGGAAAAAAGAGACACGAAACTATGCATCTATACATGTCTTTTAAAATTCCCTAACAGTCATTTAGAAATATAGCTACAGTGCAGTTTTAACAGCACTGATAACAAAATGCAATTTAAACATACAAAAATAGAAAAGTCATTTTTCGGCAACACATAGAATAGGATAGCTTACCTCTCACTGCAAAGCTCTTTTCCATCCAGTTCATAGACAGCATCATCTGCATCCCTCGGATCCTCAAATTCCTGCAACACCACCACAGCAAAAAGCTGGATCTTCAAAATACTGACACATAAACAGCAAGAGATTGCAGAACTCGTTTGCTACACCCCAGTCTAATCTGAGAACGTTAAGAGTGTTCTTTTAAGACGCAGTTTCTCCTACATCAAATGCCAAGTGACCACTAGCGGAGAGGGGGCCCCGGGCCCTGCAGAGAGGCGCACTCACCACAAACCCAAACCCCCTCTTCAGATCGATGTCCCGGATGCGGCCGTATCCCTTGAAGAACCTCTCCACATCCTTCTCCCTGGCGGCTGGGTTCAGCCTCCCGATGAAGACGCGG